CAGTCACTTTGCATAGATCGTCTTTGCTTTCCTTTTTGCAGAACACAAATCATATTTTGCTGCCTTATATTGCTCCAAGTTACCATTTGCATGTGCAGAATTCTTTTTTTCAGCTGTCCTGTATTGTGACTAGTTTAAGAAGCAGTCCAGGCTGAAATGTGGAACTAACTTATTTCAGCATGGAAATGTGGACAAGCTCTGGTTTAAAGAAAAGTTTTGAGTGTTATTCACCCTGTATTTGTGTGTACAGCTGGGTTTCATTTTCATACTTTTTTTTTGCTGTTCTTATGTTTTGCCACTAGAGGGTGATTGCAGACAGACAAAGACAGATATATATATATATATATATATAGATAGATAGAGAGAGAGAGAGAGAGAGAGACCATGGCTTAAAAAATCAATCAAATCTGATGTCTCTATGTTTTCACAGGTTAGTATGGTTAATATTTACAACACTGAAACACTCAAGCCCCAATTTAATTTAATTAAACATTTTTGAACTTACACACTGTTATTGCACTGGCATACAATTTGGAATATTTGAAGCTTGGCTATTTCCTGATTCCTGGACACCACAAACCCGAGAAATCTGACGTGACTGTGCATCAAAGATGGATTTCTCCTGCTTTACATAGAGGTGGTTCTCTAGTAAAAGCTGAAGTACCTGGCGAACATGAACTACGTGCTCATCCACAGAGTGGCTGTAGATGAGGATGTCATCTATTTAGACAAACATGCAGTAATCAAGGGTTTCACATAAGACCAAGTTGGTGAACCGTTGGAAGACAGCAGAAGCATTCATCAGCCTGAATAGCATTACAAGATACTTGTAATGCCCAGTTGGGTTAATGAATGTGGTCTTCCATTCATCTCTCTCACATACTCGGATAAGGTTGTAAGCACTGTGCAGGTCCAGTTTAGTAAAAATGGAGGCCTGCTGCAGTGCCTAGAAGGCTGAGATAATCAGCGGCAGCAGATAATGATCTTTAACAGTGATAGCACAATAGCACAGTCTTAATATGCACTAAATGGGCACTTTAGACAGACTGGGGCAAGTAATGGGATTCTTGGACTGATTTGGAGCCGATACAGGAATCTCAATGCAAGACCCCTTACATTGAGGCACCCAGCCTGCTACAGACCAGGTCAGCCAATGCAGATGTGGCCGGATGAGCAGAAATGAAATCTTCTACAGGTCCACTAGGGACAGATTAGAAGTTTTAGCCAGGGTGTTATCAGTAAAATTACTGATTGTCCCAGAGTCTACAAAACCCTGGAGCCTCTTGTCAAACTCCTGCCTCCATGAGAGGGTAGCAGTGAGAAAGTGCCCGGATGTCCTGGCAGGTAACTTTAGGTCAATCACAGATCCCCCTTTGTTCAATGGGCCCTGATTTTTTTCCTGAAGCTCAGGACATGGCTGGGCAGCCCACAGTAGGGAACTGACCCTCTTGCAGTTCCTCTAGAGATGCGGGTGTCTCCTAATTGAATGGGCTGCTCGGTGGACTCAGAAAGTGTGGGAGATGACCCAGGAAAAATCTGAGAAAGAGTCTTATAACAAGGGCACACAGACTCCTGCAGCATTCTCGCAAACCGTTGTCTAATTTTAGAGCCTGTTTGATGAGTTCCTCTAAAATTCAGGTACATCTCGAGTGACCAACTCATCCTTTAGCTCATTACTAAGACCCTGCTGAAATATCGGCATTAGGGCCGTGGCTTCCCACCTGCTTTCAGTGGCAAGGGTGCAAAATTCCATTGTGCACTTTGCCACTGAGGGCTTAGCCTGCTTGAGGTGAAAGCAACAGGAACAAACCACTCTTCCACAGACTGGATGGTCAAACGTACACCACATGGTGGCCATAAACAAGTCTGAGGAGGAACACGTGGTAGCCTCTTTCTCCCAAACAAGGGTAGCCCAAGCAAGGGCTTGATCAGTAAGGAGCAAGATAATGATGGCTACTTTAGAGTGCTCAGTGGGCAATCTCAAGGGTGCTGTTCGAAGGCCAGACTGCATTGTAGGAGAAAAACCTACACTGTGCCAAAGAAGAAAAGGATCATCCAGATTTTACTAGCATAAAGTTTAAAGCCAGGGTCTGTCATGACATGGGTTTCCAAACTTCGCAATGAAAAATGTTTATATATTATTTTATTTATTTTGAGAAGTTTAAATATAACGTACATACATTTAAAAAGTGCTTTGTCGGTCTCTAAGCCTTGGTGTAGAGCCATGATGTGCTGCTTGTATTTTTATTGTTAGCTATGTAGGCTTTAGCCTGCTAACTAGCCAGCTAGCAGAGTAAAGTGAAGTTGTATTGACATTCATGTATAAGGGGTGGAGTAGTTTGCAACCTAAAGAAAATTCAAACATTACCATTTTGAAATGTTGAGCATTTTAAAGTATTTTACTGCTGTGGCTTATAAACAGCTCTGTATGACTTTTCAGGTTTGAAAAGAAAAATGCATTAGGTTGCAATAATATCTGGGCGAGTTCTGCTGTTGAAGTCGACACTTGGCGTTTAGATGGTCCCTCAATCCTCCAAAGGTCATCTAACAAAGTTTTCTTGACTTAAAAAAATAAAACACCAGCCCTTAAGATGACATTGGGGATTCCTCCAAAGGGCCAAGTGGACAAGGGTGTGTTAAAGTATGTATTGACGCCAAGCCACATTCTTTATGTGGTACAACAGACTGCAAACTGGGTTCATTTAGTCTAAGTAAGAATAGATTTAATCCATATCCAGGAAACTAGTCCTAGGACATTAATGTCTTAGAAATGAAGACATTCTGACACACATTTCTGCCAGCTAGCTCATTTTACTAATTAACTTGTGTTTTGTGTTTTGATTGGTTATTTTCTGGCTGGTCACTAAGTATTACATGATTGGCTACAACCACTGTGGACCTTCACAATAATATGAACAAAGATGACTGTGCATTGTCTTGTAGAACATTTTATTAGGAACACCAGCATGAATTGATATTGCTCAGTAGCTCACTCAGATCGACCACACGTTCTCAGTGAAAGAGAAAAGCTCACCACAGACCCTGAACCACAGAAACAGCACTGTGTGCCGGTTGTAGTTAGAGAAAAGCATTATCGCTGCCCTGTAGTTCTAACACATGCAGTCATATGCAAAAGTAAAAAAGAACTTAACACACACTCAAAAGTTTAGCTCAGCAATTAAATAGAAATAACAGTTGCCTGAAAATGCTATATTAATATGTTCTCTGTGGATGTGTGAACTTAATTTTACTTAGAAAATTAACAAAAATATAATTTCAACGTGTGAAACATTTGCACACGACTGAATAAATGGATAATTAGACAAGAATACACACCCTGTACATACAAATGCACACACACAGTTACACATGCACTAGAAGTCTGTATGAAAAATTGAGTCTGAGAAACCATTTCATGACATTTTTTGTTTTATTTTAACTGATGTATTTGTTTACGTTTTAAAGATATGGTAACGACTTAGTTGTTCATGTTTATCTTTTTTTAAAAAAGCTTTTCCATCACAGAGAAGAACCATTTAATCAAAGATTTGTTTATGTATTAAAGAAATGCTTTTTTTTTAGGTGTATGAATGGTTTGTTGTTGTTCATTTAAGTTTTTTATTGTTTGGACTATTTATAAAACTCTGAATTTTTGATTTTCCATACAATCAGTAGGTTACTTTATGCCTATTGTACTCGTTAGTGGCTGCACTACTGTTATGTATGTTAAAACATCTGGACTGCTTAGTTGCTTAGTTGCATCACTCACTGCAGAGTTCCAGGCTGCTTCTGGAAGCAACATCAGCACAAAAACTGTGCAGTAAGAGCTTCATAAAATGGGTTTTCATGGCTGAGCATCTGCACAAAAGGCAGCAGTTTGGTGAAGACCCTTTCCTCTTCCCCATGACTGAGTCCCTGTGCACAAAGAAGCTCCATAAAGACATGGTTTGATGAGTTTGGTGTGGAGGAAATCTAGTGGCCTGCACAGAGCCCTGACCTCAACCCCACTGAACACCTTTGGGATGAACTGGAACATCAACTGTGAGCCAGCATCAGTGCCTGACCTCACAAATGCTCTTTAGACTGAATGGGCACAAAGTCCCACAGACACTCTCCAAAATCTTGTGGAAAGCTTCCCAGAAGAGTGGAGGCTGTTACAGCCACAAAGATGGGGCAACTCCATAAAGAAAGGGACGTCCAACAGGCTCATACAGGTGTGATGGTCAGGTGTCCACATACTTTTGGCCATATAGTGAATACACTAGTGGGAGTGGTCTTTACACATTAAGCGAAATATCAATGCTATATTATGATTAATATCCCCTGCTTTGGTGATAAAATATGTTTTCTGCTGATTATGTTGTTCTTTTCAAAAACATATATAACGAATGGATATACAGAATTTTAGAATGTAACTCTTCAGATGCTCCTTCTGACCTGATATATTGTCACATCCCAGGCTTCACTTCCTACCACTCACCAGCGCCAGGCTCTGGCTCACTCCCTTTCACACCTGTGGCTCATTTCACTCTTGTGTTTTGTTTTATTTTGTTTATTAGCCTGTCTGCCCCTTGTTCTGGCACTGCCTGCTGGCTTTACTTCTCTATCTTGGATTTTGCCTGTTGTCATTAAGTCTTTCTGCATTTGCATCTAGTCGCTACATCAGACTCGACACATATACCCCACTTCCTCTGCTGGTTCCTGTAGATTCCCAGTGCACAGTCTTGATCCATAGTGCTGCCCCAGTTTTGTAGCACTAATTTCTTGTTTGTGTTTTACAGTTCTGACTCTACAGCCTAGTCATAACTGACTTAATAATAATAATAATAATAATAATAATAATAATACACAAGGACTATTCAAACATTCATGAATCTGAAAATAAGTTATTTTTGTATATAAGGTATATACAAAAAATTAGCCAATTACATTTAAACCCAGTTTGAAAGTTAAAACATTTGTTAAAGTGAAGGAGTTCAAACAGAAGCAGATGAGATGCTGTATTATTTTGCATGGATCTGCAAGGCAGTCATGTGTTCATTCCACACGTGTTGACTTCTTGGAGATGGTGGAATAGAGCGGCTCACTCTGAGGGATAAAAACAAACATCTGCTGTAACACATTACTGTGACATCAATGAAGTTCGGACTGTAAAATGGACTTTAAATATGTCCAATGACGTTTCAGAGGTCTGAGGACTGTTTTACACATTCAGAGTTTCATTAGTTCGCTCTTTGTCATTAATACAGTAGATAAGAAATGTTTATGTTTGTAAGTCTGACATGTTGCAGGTTATTTACCGGGTTGTTCTCAGTGAACTGAACTTGTGGTACTAAAGGGGAAGCTGCACTTTGGTTCTTCAAGCCTGATAAACAGAAAACAATTATGACATTATAAACCAGTGTGAAGGAATGCATTACAAAATCTTTAACTCTCTCCACTCACTCACTTTCACCATGATTCTGTAGTGTCTTATTATTCCTGTTCGATCCCTGATTGATAACTTTTGTTTGACTACACTGAGTTTTCTCTTTCTTTCTTTTTGATTTATCCCCCACTTTTCTCCCCACTTTTCTCCCCAATTTAGTCGTCGAGGGTGAAGGCAGCACAGGCTTCCTCCGAGACCTGTGAAGCTCCACCGTGTCTTTATGAACTGCTGCTCACGCAACGTCACTGGACAGCTGAAGGCACTCAAAAAAAGCGCCAACTGCCAGATCTGTTACGTCAACTAACAGACACCTGCACTGACTAGCATCACGCCGACCCAGAGATCGAGGCCAATTGTGTTCTCTTGGACACCCGGCTACGGACGGCTGTAACATCACCAGGGATTAAACTTGCGATCTCCTGCTGACAGGACCAACACTTAGACAGTTGCACCACTCGGAAGCTAAAATAACAGTAATGACAGTAAACCAAATCACTCATATTTAGGCTAAAATAGCAGTTTCTTTTTAAAACTTAAGAGACACCGTGAAATGACGTCTCGTGACCAAAAAGTCTACCAGAAGTCCCATTAACATTCTCATTGGTTCTGACGCGTTACTGTAAACTTGCAGACATGATGTTAAAATGCAGCTCTGGACAGTGTGGTCAGGAACCAGTCTGAGATGGTACATGCAGTAAAAGAATGTGGTTCCACACGCTGCCTGTGGAGGAAGTCTGTTTAGCTAAGTGTTGCGTTATCTTTTTTAAAGAAGCAGAAGCAGGAGATTTTTATCAGCTCTGTAGCATCAGATAAACAACAGAAACGTCTGAAGTCTTTACCCAGTTTTATGATGTCTGGATCACCTGCCAGCATGTAAAGGTCTTCACCTTCCTTTGGAGGGGCAGATGCTGTGAAAGAGAAGACAATGGCAGTTAATAAAAAACAAAAAAGTAACAAAACTGTCAACAATGCACACACTGACTCATATTTAATGAACTCAAAACCAAATCAATGCATCTGTCTGTGACTTAGCCAAATAGCATTGAGATTGGTTAAATTTATTCAGAGTAGGCACCATGTGAATGCTGAAAAGCTCAGGGCGCTGATGCACAACAGTTAAAGGCAATTATAAACTTGCAATCTATAACATATTTTGTGTTTGTAAGTATACGATTGGATATTTTGTTTTATATTGTATATTTTGGTACATCATTACTGTTTATGTCAATTCTTGACACTGAACACACAAACAAGGTAGAGACTCTACAGAACATAAGGCATGCAAATGTACTGCACTGCAGAACCACGTAATTGATTATGTATTGGTAAGCATTGATTCTCATGTCCAAAGTGAGTCTGTAGGGATTCACTTTTAAAGGATTCAAATAATTTGAGAAGATCAAAAAATTGAGTCTCAATCTTGAACAGTTTGATCTCAACTAGGCATATGGTTGGACTTTTCTTGGACTTGTCAAAGGTGGTCTTGCACACAGCCCTATTAAAATATATATTGAAACTATTTTGACCCAAATGTGGTTTAAACACTTAGAAGGTTTGCGTGCTGATGAGTACTGACATCACAACAAGGAGATAAAATTGTGGGACCTTTACATTATCTCTCAGGGTGCACTTCTTCAATATTTGCACAAAAAGGTTTTCTTTAGGCTTTAATTAGTTATGTTACAATAAATAAAACAGGTTTATATATTTTGAAAGTGAAGTGTCCTCAGAAATTGAAACAGACCATGTATACTAGCTGTGTTTCAACCTATACTAGGGTGTTTCACTGCATGAGTCAAACTCTGTTAAGGCTCACCAGGCTGTGTGGTCGGCGCAGCGTCATTTATGGTTTCGCAAACATGATCAGCCTTGGTGACATTGGCAGCTGAGAACAGTAAGACAGACAGTTCAGTACAGCATGATGTGTTGATTAAAATGAAATTCATTGCTGGTATGTTGAAGATGTTGGAAAGTAGCCTTTCATTTTATAAAGATAGTCACTCACCTTCCCTTTTGCAGTAGCGTCTCTGTAGAAACAGAGCCAAAACTATCAGCAGCACCCCGACCAGCACAGCAGTAGCAATAATATAATCTACAGTCAGAAGAGACGTGGTATGATTGTCTTGTCTCTTGTTTTAGAGGTGTGCTTACGTAGGGCAAAATCTTGCCACCACACTCCCCAACTTTAGCTAACAGGAGTTGCTCAATTATTTGTACTACCTGGGGTTTTAAAGCTGGTTCAACATTTTAATGCCAAGTTATTGACCCCACAACACCATAGACAAAACATAGGTTCCCGGCTTACAGCCGTGTTCCCTGAGATATCTTGGGGGAGGCCCACTGGGAGTATGGGGAGCAGGTGCTGCTACTCTGGGCCATTCAATCTCTGTACTCCCAGACTGAGAGCTGTGTTTGTATACTTCGCATTAAGTCAAGCTCATACAGGGTGGTGTCTCTGCAATGTGCAGATGATGTTGTTCTTTTGGCTCCATCGCATAGATGCCTTCAGTGCTCATTAGAGCAGTTTGCAGCTGAATGTGGAGCAATTTGTATGCAGATCAGCACCTCCAAGCCTGAGTCCATGGTCCTAGCCTGGAAAAGGATGGCGTGCCCACTCCAGGTAAGGGGAAATGACATGCCCCAGGTGGAGGAGTTTAAGTATCTCGGTCATCTGGGAGGAGCTCGGAGTAGAGCCACTACTCCTCCGCATTGAGAGGAAACAGTTGGGCTGGTTCACGCATCTGATCAGGATGCCCCCTGGACACCTCCCAGTGGGGCTTTGCCAGGTACGGCCTACTGGGACGAGAACCCAGGGTCGTTGTAGGACCCGCTGGAGGGATTATATCTCCAAGTTTGCCTGGGAGCGTCAGGGGGGACAGGGCTCTCTGGGATTCTCTGCTCTCCCAACTGCTACCACAACCCTTTCTGGACTAAGCAGTTAAATATGATGATGACTGGTTGCAACCGTGACCTCCTATTAGAGTACCATGCTCGAATTCAGTGAGCTCTTTAGAAAGACCCACTCTTTCACAGATGTTTGTAAAGGCAGACTGCACGGGTAATTGCCTGAAACACCTGAATTCAATGATTAAGAGGTGTGGGCCAGTACTTGTGTTTGTGTGTGTATATATATGTAACAGTATACAATAGTTGTATTAATGTTATGTTATGAAATTCCTGCTGGTCGGTCAGCGTATTACAGCTCCTCTATATATTGGTGATTCGGTGCAGCCTCGGCAGTAGTGTTTGCACACTGCCGTGGTGAGTACAGCTTTGTATATTCAGCTCAGCAAAACTGCAAATAACTATGTAAAGTGTTGTAATATTCGACTTTTGTCCCTACTGTCTTGAAATACATGTAATAGAGACTAGTATACCCAGTTGGGCTTTTTCAAAACGCTTTATTTAAAAAGTTATAAATTCGAAGCTAAACCTGAACTGAACTGTGCTAATGTTAGCCTGTTTCTTTAGTTGTATGCTGGCTGAAGCACGAACAGAGACTTAAACTGTGGTTGCCATACTCATTACAGGTATGTTATATTCATGTTTTAAGGTGTTTTAGAACAGTATCAATGAGCACAGCAATGCTAGCTGGTTTAACTAGCTCACTCTCAGCTGCACCATGTGGTCTGGATGCCGCATTTTATGTTCACCACCAGATGACATTATTTCATATTTTACTTTTTGTTGATGTTTCACTAATTAGAAAAGGATGATGTAGCTATAAAATATTATTCATATTGACACTGATGGAAATGTAAAACGTAGACTGAATCTAAAAACTGAGCGTAATATGGAAACACAAGCACTTTCACCACTATACGATCATAGTAATTTGTAAAGGTATTTATATTATTTTCATGAATGTATATTTCTCATGTCATTGGTTCATTGGTTTTGGAAATATATTTGGACCAACATATTCTTTGGGCAGTAGAGCGTTTGCACGTTGCCGTGTTGTATGCTGGCCGAAGCATGAACAGAGACTTAAACTGTGGTTGCCATACTCATTACAGGAGGCAAATAAAACTGCATCATTCCAACTTGGTGTCCATCGTTGACCAGGGCGGATGAACACCCGATAGGAGGGGTCACATATATATATATATATGTGTACAATGCTGTGTCTTTATTTCCATTACCTGTAATTTAAAATGCATCAACTAAAACTGTGTCGCCATTGACAAGTAACCATGATGGTTTTTTAATTAATGATCACTGACAAGAAACTGAATGAGATTGAATGGATGAAATGCTCAAAACAAGGAAGGCCTTTACAGCGGAGTGCTACTCAGTGACCGAGGCTTCCTCTGCACCAGTACCTGTGGACGCCTCTCTGAAGCTCCACTTCACCAGTGGAGCTACGATTCATCAGAAGCCACAAGAAAGCTCTTCAGCCCTGAACAGGCTTTCTGTGTTTTAATGAGCTGCATTGGCAGCTTCACTATCGGACTGTGAACCAACCCACAGAGGCAGCAACATCATTTTTGCTCATGCAGAACTCCACAATTTGCCAATCGATTGGGACCCTGCGTCCCACACAGTTTCCCTTTTAAGTAATCAACAAAGATAACCTAAACACAGGTCATCTTCAGCTTCTCTGAACAACACATTCTGGAAAGCCTAATCAAGACTGAACGATGTAATGATTAAAGCTTCCTCTACTTGAGTATGGTAACTCAGGGTGTGTTTAATTGAGTGATGTAGCATTTAATTAAAACAGACAATGAAGTCTACAAAACATTATGGCAGAAGGTATGAAATATTAAAACATCTGAGCTGAAAATGCACTTCAATTACAATAATCTTGCCTTAAACCTCCGTAAAACTGTGTCTTTAGCAGGTTTAAAATAAACCTCAGTTAAACCTGAGACACAGTGACATCTAGTGGCAGATGTTTGATTTTCAAATGACACAGCAGTTCAACGATTAACTCAGTTTAAACGGTAAACAGTAAATCGGTCACTCAGAGGTGGGTATATACTGTGTACCTGCTTATCTGCATGACTCTAATGCTTTTGTACTCTGTACAGAAGAAACTCACACCATCCAACACAGATTTAGGATTTGAGTGTTACTAAATAGGTAGAGACCAGAAATGATGCCACACAGATCAGTGGCTGTTACAGGAACAGAAACAAATACCTTTTGTGGAAGAGCTTGGACTTGCTCCTGTTGAGAGAAAGAGAAAATAAAAGTGTAGATGAGAAAGAGGGTGTGAAAAATCATTGGTTAAACTATGCATCCTGAATCTGATCAATCATCAGAGTCAAAGTTGAAATATAAGTTTATATAAAATGAAATAACTACAAACAGTTGAAACAAGAAAAACTGTAGAAAATGTTCTACTTGGTTACTTAATCTCACAAACAGGTGACGGCAGCGGCTCTGAGGGGAGCGTGTTCTGTTACCTGTTGTCGTAGGTGAAGCTGTGCTGGCTGGAGGAGAAAAGCAAAATATATATTAAAGAACGTATTTTAAAAAACGTCTGGGTGTTTCATGTTTAGAAACAATATAGATTCTTAGTTATGCTTCCTGTTTCATATCCTTTTAGTGACTTTGAGGAAGAACAGAGGATACATGTTCAGGCTTGACGTAACCAGGAGTCAGAACAGCTGATCAGAACAGCTATCTGTGCAGAAGAACATTAGAGGAACATACATGCTTGAAGAAAGATCTGTGGTTTCTCCTGCCCCCCCTGCACCGTATTTAAATAGGTTTTATGTGGTGGTTGAGATCCTCTCGACATGTTAGATCTAAAATCAATATGTTATTTCTTCGAACAGTAATCTCCACAGCAGTTACCAACCGCATTTACAATACCAGACATGATGTTATCACTCATCACTACAGCATCAGCACTGCTGATAGTAATATGTTACTAAGTTAGATGAGCAGTTCTCATTGTGGAGCTGCAGCAGACAAAGACATGCTGCCTTCTCATACTATCTTTATCTTTTATCTAATACATATTAAGATGATATCTGAGGATTATAAAATTCAGTTAAAAATTCAGTAATCATATACACTCACTAAACTGTAACAGGGGTGTCACAGTATGCACCCTTGAGTGTAGGGAACAGAACTCTATTATATTTTTATATATTCACTCCATGTACCTTGTCTTGACTGCAGACATTTTATTTATTTTTCTGTTTTAAAAGAGTGGGCATGGCTATGTGTCACACAACAAGTCACTCTAAATCACTCTTTTTAAAAAAAACCTTCCCCCTGCATGAAAATGTGTCAGAAGAAAAAGAAACGTTTCAGATGCTAGAAAAAAGATGAGAGCAAAGAAAGACTGAGAAATACATTTATATCAAAATGCATGAAAATGAGTTGTAATATTTTGGAAATTAAGTTTAACGCTCGTTATTTGTGTTTGCAACATATTTTGGACAAGTTATTGCTTGTGGGTTTTATTAATTTATTTGAAACTTCTGGCACAAAAATTGACTCCATAGATACTCAAGCTATGAATGATCATCATGCACATGTATTTCAATGAGCAGCCAATCATGTAAAACACGGAGAGGAGTCAAGCAGTGAAACAGTTTACACTGTGGAAATTTGAAGAGCGGTAAAGCAGTTTATTTTGTACATATGTAAAAAATTTAGCAAATAAATAAATACATTAGCAGAATCATATTTAACTGTGCTCTCTGTAGAGGATGTAGCTACCAAAATTGCATATCATTGTATTAGTAATAAAATGAATGACACCAACATCTGGATTACTTGTGCACCGATATATTCCAAATTTTTCCATAAATAATTCAGTACAGACACAAACAGAAGGCCTGGCTTGATGTTCAGGTCTCAAATGATCTCAGTGTTTTGAGTTCTCTTTTAATTTTCTTTCAATCATCACATTCATCCACTCTGGCAAGGGGTCTGAAGCACAGATGTTCTTCTGCACATTGTGTTGAGATACACATTTCCACCAGCGAGGTCTCCAAATTTAAGTGAGTTTAGCTTAAGCAGAAGAAATAAAGAAGTGAGAGTACACAGTGCAGAGAGTGCAGGTAGAATGTGGGTTGAGGCACACACCTGTGGTCAGTGCGGCTGCTTTGATGTTAGTTTTAAAGCTGACCCCCTACACTAATGTCTCTGCTACTGAAACCACAGATAAAGTTTTTGAGGAGTGCTTGTTCTAGACACTGTTGATAACAGACAGTGCTCTGTGAGACTGCTTATGTAACTTTTTCTTTCAGTTCTAGGAGAAAACATTAAGCACTTGGTTCATTACTTTATCATGGCAAACTGGAGAACAGGAAGACACTTCAGGAGAAGCAGTCTGAGGCCTTTTATCTGATAAGAAAAGTCTTTATTCAGCTCTGTGATGAGAAACATGTTCATGCAGCATAATGCTTCAGTCGTGATTATTTGGTGGTTTGATTTTTATATTTTTTTTCATTACATAATTTGATATTTTTTCATTTTTCCACTCAGCAGTCCAACTATAAGCATGTTCCAGAATCTGAGATCATCTGGACCCAAAACTCTAGCTTTTACATGAAAATTAAACTTCAATAATCTACAATTTTTATGTAGATTACTGAAGTTTATACTCAAAGAGTTAATTCCACAGCCAAATTATACTATTACAGTTATTCATATGTATTGTAAATAATATTGATTGTGAAAAAGTGTTTAAACTCTAATTCCTTGATATGCTCAGATTTAAAGGTTAATTATTCAGTAACTAATAATCATGTAAATGGGCTGCCTTAAAATTTTTAGTTATTTCAATTCTGAGTATTAAGTCAACAGAACAAGAACGTATTATTTGTTATTATTATTATTATTATTTGTTTTGTTGTACATTATTTATTATCTATTCAATCTGAAAAAATACATTAATAGTGTAAGTTCAAATAACATGCTTACTAAAGCAATCCCCAGAAATCCCCGAAATGTATACAGTGCATAGCTCATAATACATAGGACATAGTTCAATAAGAAAAAGAAGAAGAAAAAAAGAAGAATGTTTAATTTGTATTGTATTGTATAGTTCATTTGTATTGTGTCTTCCTCATAGCCCAGGTCACTTTATAGAAACAGTGTGCAAAAAAGAAAGTATTAGATGAAGAACAACAGCTCTTTGTAGATGTAAAGTGGAACTGATGTTTGTATATCTCACAGTTACTGTCACTCACCTGCAGGATTCACAGTCAGATTCACTACAGGAGCAGAGTTACAGTAGTAAATCCCAGAGTCAGAGAGAGAAACGCTCTTTATCACCAGTGATGAATCAGTTAATACACTGTATCTGTTTTCTGGATCAGGTCTGTGTTTCTGGGTGATTTCTCCACTTTCTGCACTAAGGATGGCTGATCTTCCTCCATCAGTGCCTTTACTCCAGATCACTTTACTCGCATTTACACAGACCAGGCTGACGTCTCTCCCCTCTGTTTCACTTTGACTGAATATTACTGTCAAAACAAATATGAAAAAAATGGTCATCACACAACATCACAGAAGCAAGAACTTCTTATGCAAATCTACAGCTCACACATAACACTCTGTATTTACTGTGTAGTTTTCAACACTTCTTTGCATTTTTACAGGAATGAAAGCAGAAATCTCTCAAGAAAATCCCTAATTTGTAAATAAACCATTTTGTCAAAGCAGGAATTTGATTTACATTTATGTTTTGATGATGGGCAGGGTGAATGTAGCTTGAGATAAATTGATTATAGATAGAGATAATTTGGAAACAAATCATTTATTGAACAAAATTCCAAACAAATAAATTTGTTAAAGGAACTCATACCTGTATGAACTCTACTAAGTATGAATGAGTTTATCATGTTGTATTCCAGTCAAACTATGCTGACATGAATGTAAACATAACTATCCATCATCTAGACTTCTAACAACTGATGTTGTTAAACCAGAATACTCATTCTCATGAACACCCATAAAGTCAGTAGTATTTACATTTCATAATTAATTAATTAATTAATTAAACACAGTGTGCTTATTCATTTTAGATATTTTTGGTCAAACTATTCCAGCCCCTATTTACAAATGGACATACCAAATGTGCTGTGATGTAATGTCCGGGAGGGGGTGGGTGTGGCTGTGTGCAAGCTTTAGCCAATGTTACCTGGGCATATAGCTTAAGAGCATATCTATCATTAAGTAATTGTCACTTCCTCCTGTTTTTATGAAAAAATGGCTTGTATAAAACAGTGATCAATAAGCCTTCAACTCTGAAATTGTCAGTGATCCACTTTCTTATTTTAGTCTAGTTCTTGTACACTGATCACATTCTCTTGTATTGTATGAGACAACTGTGACTGGTACTGTTTTGTCAAATCCCAAAACAGTTAAATGATATTACAACCCCATTTCCAAAAAAGTTGTGACCCTGTGCAGAATGTAAATATAAATAAAATGCAATGATATACAAATAATGTAAACCATAATTTTTTAAGGAAAATACTACAAAGACAACATATTAAATGTTGAAACTGAGGAATTTTATTGTTTTTTTGAAAAATATTTGCCCATTTTGATGCCAACAGCATGTTCCAAAAGAGTTGGGATGGGGGCCTGTTTACCACTGTGTTTCATCACCTCTTCTTTTAACAACACTCTGTAAGCGTTTGGGAACTGAGGAGACACTGCTGTAGTTTAGGAAGTGAAATGTTTTCCTGTTCTGGTTTGATATGGAATTTCAGCTGATCATCAGTTCAGAGTCTCCTTTGTCGTATTGGTAATTTCATAATGCAACAAATCTTATCAATGGGTGACAGGTCTGGACTGCAGGCAGGTCAGGTCAGCAACCAGACTCAGCAATGCTGTTGTAATACATGCAGATTGTCTTGATGAAATAATTAAGGCCTTCCCTAAAAAGGTGTCGTCTGGATGGCAGCATATGCTGCCAAAACCTGAATATGCTGCATTTAAAACCAGACTGGTTTTTGGCCTTGTCCCTTACATACAGAGATTTCTCCAGATTCTCTGAATCTTTTAATGATATTATGTACCATAGATGATGAAAAGCAAAAGTTCTTTGCTGTTTTACATTGAGAAACGTTATTATTGAATTGTGGCACTGTTTGATGGTGCAGTCTTTCACAGAGTGGTGAACCCCTCCTCATCTTTACTTCTGAAAGGCTCTGCTTCTCTGAGATGCTCTTTATAACCAATCAGACTATTCCTTGAATTTCTGAAAAAAATTCATTTCCATCTATTAACAGATGAAGAACAATTTAACAGGGTTTTGGCATTGTTTGTGTTTCCTATGATCTCAAATTATTTTCTCTTCTTAAAAGTGTATCTAGATTAGAAACTCACTCTATAAACAGTTTTTAGAGAAGTTTATTTCTTTTTCTCCAGCAGACTGGACTCAGTGGACTCAAAAAACCACAGCACAGCTACAGCATATTCAAAATGCACTGCTTAGCAGGGCAAAGAGAGCTGAGCGTATTACTCCAGTATTAAGAGCCTCACATTGGCTCCCAGTTAGTTATAGGACTAGAAGATCTTAAAGAGCTGCTCCTTCTCTGAACACCAGACTCTTTGATCTACTAGAAGAATACAAACCTAACAGGCCTGTGAGATCAAGACTGGTCAGCTAGCAAAGTTTGGAAAGCAGAGCATGGTGAGGCAGCATTTAGCTCTTATGTTGCCCAAAGCTGGAACAAGCTGCCTGTGGGTCTCAGATATGCCTTGATTTTGTTCAGGCACTGTGTAAACGTCTCCGTAAATCTGCAGGCCAGCCTGGTCTGACCATAATAAAAGTGTCCACAGTGTGAGGTGGTCTACTTACCTGTCTGAGCTGTATGTATGGAGTTGTAGAGCAGGAGACTCATTAAAAGGAGAAGCTTCATGGTCTGCAGCCTGCACGGAGTGCAGTGATAGCTCTGTCTGGCTTTGGTTTGATGAGCCAACTAAAGGAACTGCCGTCTGTCACGCTTTCATAGAAGAATAAAAACCCTGTTTCTTCTTCCTCTGACAGTTTCCTCCTTTTACAATTCACATGCACGTCAGTACAGAAGTGTGGGCTTGAAATCAGCAGAAGCGACAGTCTAAAATGAACTTCTTCACTTTTTCACTCTGTGTAGATGGTAGATGGTTCATGTGTTTGACCTCACTGATATATTCTAGGTTCTTATGGTTTTTATAACTGGAAATGCTGGGCCCCCTTTAACCAGCGTCTCCACCTCAAATGCTGCTTTCATGACAAACAGTTCCCTATTTGACATAGCAAAATGATTATTCTCAGTATCAGTTCGTTTCCTTGAATAAAGGCCACAAGGGTGCAACCTGGGAGGACTGCCCACACCCTGGGACAGTATAACTCCTGTGCCAGACTCCAAGGCATCCACCTCAACCACAAATAGAAAGGTTGGGTCTTGACATTTAGGGCTAAACACAGGGCCAAACTATGCTTGGCTTTGGAAATTTGTAGAAAACCCACTCTACTTTATCAGCCTTCACATCAAAGTGCTCCAGGCACTCCATCTTTTGCCCACAACTGGAGCTTCAAATTTAAATTATATCCATATGCTGCATGACCGATTGACCGAGGTGGACAACAACGGTTGCTAAGCAGATTTGGAATGCCTTACACATTCAGAAATTGATGCAGAGAGTTTTATGATCAGTTGTGGTACAATAGTGGTCCCTTTCCATTGATAAACAGGGTAGAGGGAGGCTGATAAAATGTGCAGATGGACTACAGTCTTTAATTGTGCATCCATATTGAAGATGTTTTTGATAAAGTGGCCAATGATATATAAGTAAGTGCCTAATTATATGTTTTGTGGATTTTTTTTATATGAAAAGTAGTAAACCACTTCTGCAAACTTTGTCTTCAAATGTTAATATTATTAAGTGTGTAATGTTGTACCATATGTTAAATGTCATTGGGATCTGTCAGTTGATGACAATTATAGAGCATAATAAAGTCTCTGACTCTTCAAACCTTGTGCTAACACTCAACAGCCATGGGTTCCCCTAAAGCCCTGGGTTCATTACGCGACTTTTAAAGTCTGAACAGAATTATAAAGACTGGGTGTCTCACACTGTTTTACTGGTTTCTGCAGATTTTTTGGGAGACTGAATGCACTGCACTGATGCAGTAAAGAAGCAGCAGGTTAACATGTTTAACATATGAGTCGTTGATCAGTTTGCACTAGATTTCACTCAGAGTTGGGTTGAAAAAATCTAACTGGTCTAAAACGAGATCAGGAGGCCAAAAATCTGAGTCTGCGCCCCTCAAACATGACTCAACTCTCTCTCCAACTGTCGACTCCGACTGACCCAAAAATCCTGTACAAGATTTCAAAGAGCTTCCAGCTCACAGTTTCCATTGTCTGAATTGTCATTAAGAAATGGCAGTCAAGGGAAACTGTGAAGGTCAAGGCAAGATCTAGAAGGCTAAGTAAACTCAGTTCTCAGATAGAACTGCTTGTTCGCTGACAAGAAAGGCAAAGCAAAACCCACATGACAGCAAAGGACCTTTAGGAAGGATTTGTTGATAAAAGAGTGGCGGTGCAGCGTTCTGCTGTGCAGTGTTATTGAACAAAAATAAACTGCATGGAACAGTCATGAAAAAAAACAACAACTAGATCAGCCAGAGGCATTTGGAAACAAGTTCTGTTGACTGGTGAAGTAAAAATTAAACTCTTTGGCCACAATCACTACAGGTGTGTTTGGAGACAAAAAGGAGCAGCATTTGATGAAGAGAGCACCTTGACAACTGTTAAATCCGGGGTGGATCTATTATGCTTTGGGGTTGTGTGGCAGTCAGTGACCCAGGAAACACTGCACAGGTAGACAGAAGAATGAATTCCACACCTTTAACTTCTTCAAAAAACAAAAATTGAATTAAAAGCCACAAAAAACATTTGCAAGCTGTGACGTCTGCTACAGGAGAGGTGTTACTAGGCCTGACTTAGTAGATCAACCAAACATTTGCACAATTACTGTTTTATTTATTTCTACTTTTTAATGCAATCATATATAACGTAACTTTGCATTACATTTGCAGAAAAAAAATGTTTGAAATAATAAATCGCATAATTTCTGAAGATGTTTTGTTTAATTCTTTTTGCCTCGAAATGTTATTTGGCCAGAGTTGCCCAACTTTTGCATTCAACTGTATTTCTTGGTCTCGTACTGTTTGGTCTTGTAAACACTTGTGCAGAGCCCATCCTGAATGCTGCACAAAGGCTCTGGAAGAACACTGTTTTGTTGCACTGTATGCTTCAAGACTGACTGATTAATCAAGTAGAATCAGTTGAGCTTCAGCTTGTTTGGAGTAAAAACCTGCAGCCCTTTGTGGATAAAATGGGACACCCCTGCTTTAAGCAATAGTGCACCCCTAACCCCAGCACCCCACCTCAAATTCATTGATCAGCCAAGATTTATTTACTGCCTAAAGCTTTCTTCTTTAATTGTATCATTGGGCAGGGCTGAAAGTAAAGGCCACAAGGCTAATGTAGCTAACAAGTAAAGGAAGTGTATGGCCTCAAATTAGCATGGCGCTAACTGCCTGCTTAAATAATCACACTTGCATCAAACTGTGAAGTTGTTAATCTTTAATAGCCTTGATTTTGTGGTCTCTGACGCTGTATAACCCACATCCCCAGTTGACACGACTGACTCGCATGTGTAGATTAAAAAAAACTGGGAGGATCTCACATTAGACGTGATCTCATAAATATTCTTATTTTACCTAGTTTGTATTGAGGAGATGATTATGTACTGTATTCTTATATTTAGCATTATGTGTAATGTGTTGTAATGTGTATGTGATCTGTGTGGACATCCTGTTCTGTTCTGTCCTTCTTGCCTGTCCCTATATGGCCACTTCTGTTTTCTGTTGCTCTGTGATGTATTGGCTATGCCTAATCTTGGTATCAGTCCACCTATTTAAACTTGACTCCTACAATGTTCTGTGGCTCAGCTTGTTGTCTGTCTGTGAATAAATGTGTGCATACAGAAATAAAGTCTACTTCCAGACGCAAGGCTGAGCTCCCTGATTTGATTCCTGGATTCATGAAGAAGGTTAAATTCAATGCTATATAAGACCTTTAAGATTTGTCTGTTCTGTGAAACTGAATGGGTGCAGACAGTGATTTATACTATTATTTTAAAGTGTTCAACTTTTCATCAGCTATAAATAAGGGGCATACTGTAAAGGCCCAGCCTGCGCCGCCGGCCGCCAGCAGAGGGAGACGGGCAGTGAGGCACCATAAGTTCAGGGAACTCTAATTCCCAGAAGCCCTCAGGTTGATTAGGCCCAAACTGGCTCACCTGTGGACTCCACTACTTAAGGCTGTGGCAAACAGCAGCTCTTTGTCACACCTTTGTAGAGGGGTGACTGGTACGGTACTTAGCCCAGGTGAGTGTCTAGACTAGACTAGACTAGACTAGACTAGGCTAGACAAAAGGAAAAGAAAAGAGAGAAATTGGCCCAACACTATTTAAAACCCAAAAAGAAGGTTTGAACAAAAAACAGCTTCAAGTCATACAAAAAGAGATTGTTCTAAGAAGAACAAACAGGTGAAACATAACTGATCTTCCTCATTACAGTGGAAGTGTCTTGTTTTCTGATTATCTTTTATTTTACTTTTCTATCTCAGCCTTTGTTTGAGTGCACTGCTTTCAGTGTTCCCTTCATTTGCCTTTTCCTCAGACCACTAATCACTACATCGGTGGTTCAGAGGTGGTTCATCTTCAGAGGTTGCCAACTATCTTTAGTTTTCAGAGAAAGATCTACCAGAGCTACTGCCCTAGCTCTGATATAACTGGCTTAGATATAAGTTCTGATATGAATGGCTGAGCCAGGGGTTACTTTTTTCTTCAACACTAAACAGTAGTGATGGCCAGATGAAGCCTCATGAAGCCTTGAAGCATTCCATCCAGCTGGTTCAAAAAAGGTTCATTTCTTGAAGCTTCATGTGCACACAACCCCCCCCTGCTGGTTAAAACCTTTGTCATTTCAACTATTTGTGATGGTCTCTTGGCTGTCTTGCAACATTGTCAGTATGGGAATAATCACTGCCAAGAATAAAACACCTTAATTTGATTTTCTGTGGTTCATTCATTTGTTCATCTAGTCTGTTTTTGATTAATGTGTGGGTTATGGTAATAGAGGTCAAAAAACTTTCCACTATGATTTCAGTCAATAAATAAATCCAATAGGACATGAGATGTTTATGTTAAAACTGTTGCAGTGCTTTCAAGAGATGAGACAGTGATTGTGGGGTGATGGTAGAAAAAACCCTTTCACATGGTACTGAGGAGGCAGGGGTGCACAAGTATCCCACAGCAAGCTTGTATAGGCTTGGATATATGCACCTCTGCCTCTCCCAGTACTCAAGGGGATCCTCTGTTCTGCCGATGTTTCGTTCTGCCAGGTATCTCTGCACTTCAACTGTGGCATCAGCTGTGACGCTGTGAATTCTTCTGGACTCAGTGACCATGGTATCTAAATGAAACCACAGTTTGTTTCCTGAGAAGCAAAAACTGATAATATAAATGAGGACATAATTCCAAAATTGACTTTAAACCAAAGCAAAAATACTGACCAGGTCTTTCAGCTACGGCATCCTGTGATGTTGAAGCTGCAGCTGGAGATGAATGTGAGATTACATTGGCACATTCAAAGGTGAGTCGTTTTATTGCTTCATCTGCCTTTGTAGGGCTAAAGAAGCCAAGTGATTTGTATCTTGGGTCTAGTAGTGTTGCCAGTGACATAACGCTCATGCTTTGGACTTTGTCAAGCTTTTCCCTAAGGAGCCTGATGAGATGCTCTCCCAGTTCCCTAGCTACTGGGACCGTTGCCTTTGCTGACTCTTCCTGGAGCATCTTTTCAACCATTTTCAATAATGGCACCACTTTGGAGCCAGATACCTTTTTCTCCTCTGACAGCTCCATAGTAGCCTCGTGAAAATGAGACAGTATAGACAGGCACCCACAAATATTATTGTAGTCATCAGAGGTCAGTGCAGGAATGTCAGTTTGTAAGCCAGCCAAAGCTGCCCCCACAGGCTCCCTGAGTTCTGCTACTCGCTCCACCATTTGAAATGTGCTGTTCCACCTGTTTCAACCTCCTGAATCAGTTTCTTTTTTGGTTTTCCCATCTGCTCTTGAACAAGGTCCAGCTTCTCCTTTAAAGATAAAGTGAATGTTACATATGTAGCAATATAAAACAATGTGTAAACAAATATGAAAATAAATATTACTGACTTTGGCAGTTGTGCTGCTCCTAAAATAGCCCACCTGCTTCCTTGCCTTTGTACGAATGGTGGACAGCACTGGGCTTAGTTCAAGAGCCTTTTTAACGACTAGATTCAGGGTGTGAGCAATGCAGACTGCATGGCGCAGCTTCAGGTTCCTGCCACAGGCAATCATGTTAGATGCGCCATCAGTAACAAGATATGTGACTTTTGATTTTATTCCCCATTGTTCCATGAGGGAGGATTTCACACAGGCCAAATTTTCAGCTGTGTGTGCCTGCGGGAATTTCACTACACTAAGTAGTGTAGACTTCAGACATGTGTTGTGATCTATAAAATGGCAGGTTACAGCCAAGTAGGCATCCATACTGGGAGATGTCCACATGCCTGCTGTCAAACTCACTGCAGGGACTTTCTGGACCTCAGCTTTCGCCTTCTCTTTCTCTTGTTGATATTTAGCCTCAGCCATGGCCTTTACAGCCTAAAGGGAAGGTAGAAAATAATGATTATTTATTTCAGTACTACTTTAATAGTACTGAAGTATTTCAGTACTTTATCCATGTCATCACACATGCCTTCCTAGTTGGGAGAACATAGGTTGGATCCAATTTAGCTACAAAGTCCCTGAAGCCTTTATCCTCAACTATGCTGAATGGCTGTGTGTCTTTTAACAATCACGGAGACCAAAGCCTCATCCAGCTCCTCCTTTCTGGTCACTGCCTTGTAAAGATTAGATTAAACTTTGTCATTGAAAAGTACAGTACTCACCAATGAAATTCACGTAAGCATCCAATCCGAATTGCAAATAGCATGTAAGGTACAGAGGATAATGCAATATATAAATATGTATGTACAGTATATACACATTTTACATGTGCATAATAATGTTAACTGTGCAAAAGTAAAATTAGGTTATGGTTTAATTACAGTATTTGCATGTCTTAAGTAATTACATGAACATGTGCAATGGTTGTTTTTGTTTGTTTTTATTTTGTGATGTGTATGATGAATATAGTATTAGTATTGTCAATGTCATTATCATGGTTGATAAACAAATATGAAAAATGGAAAAGCATACCCACCTTGGCTGGTCCAACTCCATTCCCCTCACTATTTTCATGACAGGCCCGATAATGCCTCAGCATAGATGAGGTGTTGTACCCCAGTTGCTTGGCACACAACAAACACTTCACCTTTGAATGAAAGAAACGACTTGTGAATATTATAGTAGTAACACATTGCATTATATTCAGGCAAATTATGTGTAATACCTTATTGGGAGAGATCTGCTCAAAGTGTTGCCATACAGGGGAAATTCTTCTCCTCTTACCAGGCTCCATGAAAACAAGTTCCTCTATGTCACAGTTGGCAAAATTGGCGAAACTCCAACACGAACACTAACACGCAAATTTTGCGGGGATCCTTTGCGCTTTGTATATGTTCATAAATCACGCCAAAACTCGAACCACTGCCTGAACCAGCGAGGCTTCAGACGTCATCAGTGACGTCCCTCGCCCTTAAGGAAGCAAGCCTCGATACGCGCTTCATAAACGACTTCTTGGATTTCTCGACACAAGCTCTGAAGTCTCGGTATCATTTGCCCATCACTACTAAACAGCAGAGGATTCCCTGTGTAACGGTAGGTGTTACCGGAAAGCTCGCATTAAAAGGATGGACGCACAGAAAACGGCTGACTCAATGGCTTCCCTCTCTGCCTGTGTCTTTATCGTTCCTGCATACACACACAATCCGTTTCAACATTATGTTTGCTGCAACTGCCCATAGCTCTCCAGCATAGTGCAAAGCGCTGCTGGGGGTAACTACTAGTACACATTTGCTCATAAAATATAATAAAGTAAAAACAATATACAGCTTAGCTAGTACATTTAGTTATGTGATCGTATAGTGGACGAACTGTAGCTAGCACAGAGAGGGAGGTCTTTCTGAAGCTTCACAGAACACACAGAATACATTTTTTACAACTAATTCCAAGACAAAATGACTACAATATACCTGCATACACACACACACACACACACACACATACATAGACAATCCGTTTCAACATTGTTTGCTGCAACTGCCCATAGCTCTATAAGAGTGAGAAAAGGAAAGGAAAACGGAAGTTTAAGCACATTTTCTAGCTCATTCCCCAACTGGCGCCAAAAACCGATGCCGTCTGCATAGAACACCGCCGGTAGGTCCGTCGGGAATTAAAATATTAAATTCGGTTAAATATGCGCTAATACTTGTACAAAACGCAGCACATAAACGATATGACTGTTATTACAGAGGGTGCTTGCAAACATTTATCTCAGAAGTACATAGAGCTTCCTAAAATATGAGATTATTCACAGAGCTTTTTCTACATAACTTACCTCCAGCATAGTGCAAAGCGTATTAACATAGCAAGAATCAGTGTTTTTTGAAAAATGAAATATAAAACAATTTAGCTTAAAGTAACATGTAAACAAAAATGATTTCTTATGAACAATAACTTTGGAAGAATTCACACAACTAAGGACTATTATTATTATTATTATTATTATTATTATTATTATTAATTCTTTTCTTTTTGTTTTAGCTCTGTTACACCTGCTTCTCTTCTGTTATGCAAGCAAATCTCTGGAAGTTCAGTGGAGGTAGTGCTGGGTTAGAGCAGCAGCGCCTCCCCCAGTTCATGCTCTGCTATCATAGCGAAACTGAAGGCAATGAAATTGTAAATATTGCAAATTTTGACACAAAATGGCAAAGCTTAATAATAAAGAATGAGGAAAAAAAAACTTGATTTGAATTAAAGATCTACATTTTTATTTGGGTGACCAAATCACTTACAAAGCCTCATTTAAAAGTTCCTTGTATGAGTAAGTTTTCCAGTTGATTCTACTTATAGTTAGCTGATGAGGTGAGTCAGGTTTGGTGCTCATACACACAAATAACATCTGGTTTTAAATAACAATAAATTAAAACAGAGTTAACATTTCTGAATGTTAATAGATCTAGCAGGAAACTGAATTTTGCATATTTATAAAATATAACTCTGAGCATTGTATATCATTTTACAAAACTCTAACAACACAACAGACTGACATAAAACAAGAGGTCATTACAGAGCAGTAATGGAGTGAGTGCAAAATCCAGAGTTTATTCTGTTGGCTTCTTTGTTTGTGCACATAGCTGTTCAACTCGTTCCTGATTTAGAAATAAAAATAATTAAACTTTTTAGAACTTGTCAACTCAGACAGTATTTTAAATTGAGTAATTTAAGATGATCCAATGTAATATCAAACAATCAGAAAACACTGCAGTGAGTTTTGTGTGTTTACCTTCGGTGTTGGGTGTTATGGGGTTGTTATATGGCCTCATACACGCTCTGCTGGGTATCTGTTTAAAGCAGGGGAAAAGGAAGGAATTTTGACTGATTTTGTTTCAGAGATTCAGCAGCTTTCAAACAAAAGTAAATACAGGAATATTTGAGGATCCATAAGAGTTCATGAACTCTGGGAGGAACAGAAAAAAGGGCTTTGGCTGAGAACTGCTGTCATAGTTCTTACTCATATTACACAGATGGTAAACTGCCACATTGGTAAGTTTCATAAGTCGATATGACAAAATAGCAACAAACAGATGTATTTTTAAAAACACTATTAATAAAAATAGCTGCGGATCTTTGTCACTGAGTTAAACCAGAAGGCTTTCATATTTGAGTAACATAGGCTGGTACTTCAGATGAGCTAACACTAGAACTAACTGGTAGAGGTCTGCACAGGACTGTTTTTTCAGTCCCGCTCCCGCAGAAAATCTGAATCATTTGTCCTGCTCCTGCCTATGTAGTTCTGTCAAGGCAAACTGACCTTCAATATCTGACACAGTCTAATTACAAACACATTATCCTCTGCTGAAATAACACAGCAGTCATGGTCATCAGGCTGACTGTAAGTAACTTCATCACAAAGCAGGAAACCACAGAGCGGTTATTTTTGGTGTTCTGATGGGCAGCTGTGGCCGTCAAACTGAAGGCTCATCTGAACGCCTGATTCACACATGCTGCTTCTGTATAATGTGAGTGATGCGGCAGCACAAGCGCTACAACTGAACGCACTGGCCTTTCATACACCCAGTGTTTGAGCTGTGGAGCAGTGAGAAAGATCTACAGACATTCCTGTTTTCAGATGGATAAAAGGTCATGTTAGTCTTTCTGCTCAATGAAAAATCATTTATAAATGTACACAGTATGTTTGTTTGTCCTCAACAGCATTCTGACTTGGGCAAAAGTTTTAAGTCTGATGGACCAACCAGGAAATCTGTTTGCAGCACAATGTTTAACTAGTATTTCGTCATGAATTACATAAAGACACTGTGTTGTGTGGGGTTTTAGATGGTCTTCTGTTTAATTTTCATGGCTTATTTCAGTGTAATTTGCCGTGTGACACAAAGAAACGGCTCCAGGTCTGTTGTCTAAACACCGCAGCGTCTGGGACTCAGCGTGTTTGAAAGCAAAAGTGATCGTTCTACTTTATTTAGGCTATTCATTAATTTCCAGGATTTCTCTATATGCATGCATCTGCCCGCTCCCGCCTGAAGGGGTCTGAATTTCCCACCCGCTCCTTCGAGCAACACTGAAAATTAGGCCCGTGCCGCAGGATATTGTGTTGTGTCCTGTGGGTCCTGCAGGAATGCACAGTAGTGCAGACCTCTACTAACTGGTGCAGCAATTGATGATGATGATGATGATGTACATATTGATGATGATGACGACTAAGGTTTTTTCAAATGCTGAAAAATTATTTGGCTATTTTATTACATTCAGTCACAAAGACAAGGTATACAAGCCAACAGTTTAGTGTAACAATGATTTTATGTTTTGAAAGTATTTATGGGGAAATATGTTCAACATGCTACTCTAAAACACAAACATCTTATCTTACCTGCCTTATTACCCCACTTATTGGACTGTTACCTCACTGATCCCTTTCTTTGCCACTATAAACCCTTTAACTGCTGCTGCACTCAGCACTTTAATAAGACACATACTCTGCAATGTAAAGGTTACAGGTAGGGGGGTGTGTGGGTGTGTGTGTGGGTGTGTGTGTGTGTGTGTGTGTGTGTGTGTGTGTGTGTGTGTGTGTGTGTGTGTGAGTGATGGTAGGAATGCATGTATTATCTTTTATTTTATTGTATTTTATTTTATTGTATTCTCTACATGTAAACTGTGTCTGGTACTGTGCACTGTGAGCTCCTGTAGCCAAAACCAAATTCCTTGTATGTGTAATCAAACCTGGCCAATAAAGCTTGATTCTGATTCTGCTGTGATGTCTACCTAACCGACATTTGACAATGTCTACTTGGTGGATGAGGGCTATTTTTAACCTGTAATGCTCGAGCTTCTCACGTCTTAAACTATATTTTAACTGGGGTGTGTGTGTGTGTGTGTGTGTGTAACTGGGATGCGTGTGTTTCTGGTAAATGGGATGTGAAACCCACAGCATTATTGGGCAATAATTTCTTAATTTTTGAATCATGTACAGAGACATACACACGCAGCTTTTTTTTCTCTCACTTCAGCTGAAAACCCCACTATAAAACCAAATGAATCACTCATGTTTTGCTTTGCTATGTGGCTTTTATGCAGGGGTTTTAAGAGTTTTATTAATTTAATTCAGGGTTTCCAAACCTACAATGATTAATTAAAATAGGGTAACTATAGTGGGCAAAAAAGTGGGGTGTGTGTGTGTGTGTGTGTGTGTGTGTGTGTGTGTGTGTGGGTGTGTGTGGGTGTGGGTGTTTTGTTTTTAATTTAATTATTTACTTCCATTTTAACTTCATCAGATCAAAATCATAAGATTAGTTCAACTGTTTTTGTTCAAACACCTGGCAATAGATAGAATACAATACGTTTTAAACAAACAGGTTAAGTTAATTGCAAAGTTGTTGAGCTCACTAAATTGTTTTATTTTAATTTGAACTGAAAACCAGACTGTAAAATCAAATGTGTCCCACACATGCGTTTGCTGGCCATGTAGCGTAGCGTTTGTGCAGTAAAGACCTGACACATGCAGGGTGGGTCACAACTAAACCAGAAAACTGCATTTCAGAAATGTTTTACTTTGGCAGCTAAACTTTACATGCTAATGTATGTCACATTAACATATGAGCTTCTGTTCATTCTGAACACCTTCTCATTTAACTACCATCACAGGTAGGAATGCATGTCTGAAAGGAGCTTTAGAGGAAACACTAATATTAACGTAATTAAAGCAGCGATAAGTAATACCTTTTGTTAAAAAGAATATAAGTAGCATTAGCAGGAGAATAAAGAACACACTGAAATATGGTGAGTGTGCGCTGCTGCGAGTCGCCCTGTAAAGCCTGAAAAATCAGGTAAGGGGACGGATTTTGAAGATTTTCAGACCACGCTGTATGTCTTTTCAAATTAAAGGTTTGACGATGTTTAGGTCTGAAATAATCTCAAAATCGACACTATACTGCTGAAAATATGATAGAGGATACAATAGTAGATAATTCACTCTCATCCTCAGAAGACACTCCTTCAAGTTTAGACGGAGTTGTCTTCAAATATTCTTTCAGTGCACTCTCAAAGTCAGATCCATTCACTTGTGGGGGTCCTAAGTGCGACAGACATTACAAAATGTTGTTCTACACATTGCATGCAATTACATATTTCCACCAGAGAGGTCTCCAAATCCCCAAATCCTACGTAGTGTTGCCTTAACTGTTTTCATGAGATTAGGATGTACTTGGTACTTTCACTTCATCGGTTTACTGGCTCTTTCCTGCACTTTATATCCATTAAAAAAGGAGGCGAGCATGAATTAGTTCAGGGAGGTCTAATGCGCGAGACTTTTTCCTCAGACAGATGAAAGATAATAGGGAGACAGAGTGCTTTTACATGTACTTAATCTGATAACTGCAGAAAGTCAGATTTTGTCAGTAATCTGATCAACACGTTTATATGCACTTAATCAGATAATGGGAAAATTCCAGGTCTACATGAGTCAGACAGTAATGAGATTTCTGCTTTACAACCAGCCAATAAACTCTCAGAAGACGTGACGTAAACATAACGTAAAACTCAAACTTCATGCTGTGGCTTTTGTAAAACATCGAGCCACTTTACCCAAAAATATGAACAAACATCATCTAGAATATGAAGAATATTTAAATCCTTCATTTTGTCAAGCATGTAGTCAGTTTCAGCGTCACCCCAAAGTGGCAAAGCTTCTCGCTTATTTCCAGTACCGCCGTCTGTTTTCACACATGCTCAGACTGAGAAATCTGAAAGAAATCTGAGTAAGAGTTTACAGCACTGAGAAATCTGATTACTGAGCTAAATCCAGCCTCTTTATCAGATTTCTTAATCAGATTTAATCTAGACTGGAGTATGGTGTTTACATGACCATTTGAATAATCGGATAACTGCAGAAATCTGATTATGATAATCACTGATTGCATGTAAACGCACTGAGTTTATCAGAAGTCCTTCATATGTCATGATTATTGGTCAGGCACCTTTCAAGTTTTGTCCAAATTGACCAGTTGACGTTTGTATACTAAGCTGCAGATCTCAAATAAAAAAGTCAAAATGCTGAAAAACATTCCAAAGTCTGACATCAACTCTAATTGCATAGTTGGTTGTATAATAATAAATGTAAATACTGAATGCAAATCTGAGCATAAACCACTAGATGGACTCCTAGAAAGTACTGCAGTGGGTTTACCTGTGATCTGGACTCCTGGATGAGTTGCCAGGTAGTAGATGGGTTCCTTTGTCCTTTGTTGGTCACCTGCTAATAGAGAAATACAGCATGATTGACGATCATTTGTTGAATATTATCAGTGTGATACACAACATATAAATAATTTTATATTAATTATTTCCACTTTTCATAATTTACTGTCAGCAGCAACAAAAAGCCCCACTGAAGACTCACTGCAAGGGGCAGGCTAGTTTAAATACTGTGGTCACTCACACTGATCAACATCAACAGTATCAGCACAAATAAAATAAACTCATCTAATTATAAAAATCATTTGATAAATAAATAAATAAATAACTATTACTCACCAGGTTGTGAGGTTGGTGTGTTGTCATTAATGGTATAATAGACGTGCTCCTGATCTTGTGTAACAGGGTACGCTGCAGAGACACAGAGCAGAAATTACACTGTAAATACGGCTCTTTGAAAAAGTCAAAGACACCAAAAGGGTTATTTACAGCAAAACCATGGAATTACAGATAACCTCACAAATAAGGTTTACAAATGACCACGAACCACTGACAGGTTCTGAACCGCTCTAGAAGAGTGTAATAAGGTGTGCACACATTCTCCAATAGAAAAAAGTCTACTAATTTTACTCAATACAAATGTGTCCCAATTTCCATATGAATAAAATTTGTAACAGCAACACTTTTCCTTTCAGTTTGCTTCTTTTTTTGAGAATTAAGTTAATACAAAATACAGTATTTTATACTTTTGCACTGCAGTGTCATCCACTTGTGCTCCTGGGGCCGTATTACAGAATCTGACAGGTCAAGATAAGATTTTTCTCATTCGTATTACAGAAGCAAATCTGATCTTAATTTAAGAGTCTTATCTTGCAGCATCTTATCTCCAGTTAAGAAATCTTAACTTATTTTACTGATGTTGACAATCAACTGTCATGTCTGTTTCTTAACAACTGTTTTTTTTTAGTGTAGATAAATGTAATGCAATGATGAGATTATGAAGTTAGGATCTGTAATAGCTTCTGTCCTACATTCAGTCTGTACTGAAGTTGTCATGGTGACTAAACAGATAAGATTTCAGACGTTTCTGTAATATGACCCCAGGAGTCCCCCTGCTGCGCACATTGAAGTATGCAAGAATATATATGCAAGAAACCCCATTTGAAATAGCACAATAAAATATAGTGCAAAAGTAGTAATAAATAAATAGTGCAATAAAAAACATCACCTTTCCTTTTGTAGAAACATCTCCATGAGAACAGAACCAGCGCCACAGCAACCAGACAGCTCACTGCTATGATCAAGACTTTCCACAGAACTGAAAATAAAAACACAAGATCACCTCTCAGGATCCATTCACGTCTTCACACTGAGGATGTTTATTATAAGTTCCCTTTTTAAATGACTCATGTATGAAAAATACTATTAAAATCAAACCATGGCTGCCAGAGTCATTTTCCAGCTTAAAAAGACAACAGACCAAAATTTTTGAGAACAGACACACTGGGGAGCAGCAGGGTGGTTTGACAGACATGTGGAGCTAAGTTATTAATTTCTCATGCAGGTTGTAACAATATTAATGTATTTTAAAACAAAAGTGCACAACTTCAAATGTGACCAGTTTTATAAAATACATGTTTTTCCACTTTTTTTTTTCCATTGTACTTCTGGAATCATCCTGCTCTGCACATTGAAATGCGCAAAACCAAAGCTAATAAATCTTCTATTGCACAAACTGACTCTGAGAAGGTTCACGCAAGTTAGGGACTGTTTGCGTATCATTCGGCTGGTCATGGACGTAGTTACAGATCAGCTGACCACACTGCAAAAACTGAATATTACATCGAGGGTCTTTTTTTAGAGTAAATTTTGGGATGAAGTGAAGTAAATTCTATGAACGAGGGGTTCTGCCGAGTGTGGGGAGGAGGACACAGTGCTCAGTCTCTCTGCTGCAGGACCCCGAGAGGGAGGAGGCGGCCCTGAGAGAGGACTGGGGACGTATGGCTGAGGTCAACCTATCTAGTGCTAGATCATCTGATGGCACCACACTAGTAGCTCATATTAACCTTGAGTTGTTCCTCCAGATGGACCTTTAGTAGTTGTTGCAGCTCCTGCAGCAGTTGTGGATGTGGTTATGCTGTTTGTTCCTAGAACATAGAGAATAAGGTTTGTTGTTTTTGTTTGCTTGGTTCAGTCTGTTTATTGTATGTCTCATCATATCACTTATAAAATGTGACTAATTCAGTAATCTGTATCATTCAGGCTGTTTACAGCTTGCATTAAAATGTGTTTCATGTTCAGATCATATTAGGATAAACTTTGGCCTGATTCCATTTGCAGTTTTCTCTCAAACACGTCCTCAGTGTGACCAGATAAGATCAGATTTTACTTTCCTGCATAAACGACACATCAACACAAGTCGTTTCCATTTCATATCTGTTTACTTTACTCCTTTGTTACACTATTAATGGACAAGCTTGGCATAGAGGCTTTCACTGGCCCAGAGAGCAGGAAGGTGCTCAGTTTGGGGAGAACTCCAGTGTCCTTGTTTATTCTCTCACGATTCTCAAGATTTTTCCTGTTCAAATGTCAACCATGAATGATAATCAACTGTTTGTAATGGCTTATTACTGTTTAAATTTTTTCCTGATGTCCAGAGATCTCCAAATTAAATATGATTTTGTTATTCTAAAAAAAATCTCAACACAAAGTAGTCTTATTTTAATGAAGTGTGTTTTCAGAATTGTGAATTCCATTGAGTTCACTTTAGACCTCAGTTGTGGTGATTAGCGTTGAAGTTGCTGATGAATAAGAATTTTTATTTTTTGGATTTGGTGAGAATTATTATAAGCATTATTAATTACTGGTGTTCATTAATTGCTTATGCATTGATGATGATGATGATGATGATGATGATGATAATAATAATAATAATAATAATAATAATAATAATAATAATAATAATAATAATGCATTATCGTTGCTATTATAACATTTTAATAACATTTAGGAATTACCAGGTTGGCTTTATCGATCTGTCAAATGTGTCTAAAGAAAATGTCAAGAGTCTGTCAAACTACACTGCGTAAATCTGAGGAAGTGCAGTTGGCCATAACTGTAATGTTTGATGCCTCTCAGTATTGCTGCTTCTTGGCGGTCAAAACAACAATACTATAAGCAATATCTTTACACTTTACAGTACGTTAGTGTTGAAACGACTGCCTGACACATACATAAGCCCTTCATGACAATTGACACAAAATCTACATAGACATTTGCAGCAGTGTTGCTGAAACAAAACTTTGAATCTCCAAAAAGGAACTTAACAAGAGAAGGAAAAAAACATTCCAACTGATAATTAAAGTTAATTTAACAAGATTTAATTCCAAATCACTTTGGACCATTTCTGTTCTGTTGGTCTATTCATCATGACATTCTAACACAATGCAAATGATGAAAAAACAGTAGGTGTAAATTCTCATGAAGGTTGCCTTTGCCAGCTTAAATGGCATGTTGATGGAACTGAAGTGACATTGAGTTTTTTTTATCTTATATTAGGTTTTTATGACACTTTCTGGGGTGAAATGACAGACTTTTGTAGATCGGTGTGACACATGATACTGATAAAATGACAGAAGCAAGACATGCCAGTTGAACAGAAGTGAGTTTTCTGTGGGCCCCTTAATAAAAGGAGTTTCATTTTACCATTTATACAATTTGTCACATCAGCATTGTCACTAAACTACAAAGTCACTTGTTATAATGTGCTATAACATTTCACCTAAAAATGTCAGGACAACCCAAAGTTGTAAGATGTATCAGCTTGACAGAGTTGACAAAAGCAGCCTTTACAGTAGATGATGCCTATTGTATTAAGCCTTTATAAATGTTTATGTAGGTGTTGAAGCTTTGAACAGTGAAGTGTTTGTTGTAGAATAAGAGTGCATTGTGGAAGACCTTTAATATTATGATGGGTCTAATATTGGACTCTCAGCCCCTAATTGCAGCTGATAAATTAGTGTCCTATTTTTAGCTTTATATAGTCCTGTGTAGTCTGTAGTGCTGGATGTTTCTGTTCATTTCCACACATTTAAATGGATGAACAGTGTTCTTTTTTCATGAATGAATAGAGTGGATAACGTCACCCTCACTGTTCAGGGCTTTAGGAACTGTCCTGACCTCCTCTGTCCTGTTTATATTTTCCATGTTGGATTAAAAGCTTAACAAATACATTTTTAAGCCTTTTTACGCTTATCTTAAATGATTCTGGAGGCCACTGTAGCTTTTAAGTAGATAGAAATGAAGCACATTTCAACACTTACTGGTTCCTGATGTCACAGTGAGCTCCACTGTAGCTCCACTGCAGTAGTATCTACCAGCGTCTGACTGAGAGACTCTGTATATAATCAGCACTAGATCTTCTCTTGAGTCATAGCGTCTGTTTGGATCAGCGATGTGTTTGGTCGTCTCTCCATTATGAGTGGTCAGAATGTCCACTCTCTGTCCGTTGGTGTCTCTGCTCCAGGTCACTTTACTGTTAGTTAGTTTTCCACATTTGAGGGCGACAGTGTTTCCCTCTCTCATACTCACATTTAGAATGTCTGTTATGAAGAACACAGTGGAGCAGATACAGAGTTAAGGGTGCAGTGTTGCTATATTTTATTACACTTTATTACAGCTTCATTCATCATTTCATCACTGTTTTCTCTCACTGTACCAGACCTCTGACTTCTCCTCTCATTTCATACCTTCCTGTATCTGTTACAAAAGCATTCTTATCTCCTCCTTCACTGTACACTGCAGTGCAAAAACAGTGTTGAGAATGGGCCTCTGAGGTCTCAACCATGTACCATCAGTGGAAATGTCACTGGGATTGGTGACATGGAAAAAATAGTTTATCACAATAGAAATAGTCAGGATACACAACACAAGTATACAGTAAGGGTGCATGATATGTTTGCTGCTCATATATTACTGTTTGATGAATAAAATGTAATTATTATCATCAGTCCAATATTAAAATCACAGCCAATAATAGTAGCTGATGAATTAGCACCCTGTTTTAGCTTGAACAACACTGACGTATGTAGCGTAGTCACTAGTGCTGGACATTTCTGTTCATTGCCAAATACTCCAAATAGATAGTGGATAATGTGACGCTGTCACGGATTCTCCCTTTGTCCCTCTCGCAACCAACTTGCATTTGCATCCCACCTCCTTGCCTCCACTGTTACAGAATACCTGGCCTATAATGCAGATGGCTGATCTGGAGGCTTTTCAGAAAGCTCTTGCAGAACAGGACAACAACTAGGACGACACCAACTGGTACTGTCTGAAGTAACCCAATCCCTCGAATCATTAGCCCACCAGCAATCTGAACAGCAGGCTAAGTTGATCCAACTAGTTGTGTGTTAAGGGGTTAACTAGTCAGCTCCAGAACATGAGCCTTGCTGAAACGTAGGTTAATGTTACTCGCCCCCGATCCAGGCTGAGGCTTCACACACTGTTTTTCCCATCAGTAAACCTAATAAATATGAGGGTGATCCAGACAAGTGCCGTGGTTTTTTGCTCCAGTGTTCAATTTACTTTGAGAATTCCCCAAGTAGCTCTGATCAAGCCAAAATCTTATTCATAGTATCTCGCTTGGCAGACAAGGAACTTGAGTAGGCGTCAGCAAGCTGGGCTCACATTCATCGCCTCTCATACACACTGTTTATTAAAGAGTTTAAAACTGTTTTGACCATCAGTATGAAGGCAAGGTTAGTGGGGAACTACTCTCAAAGTTACGTTAGAGGAATTGCTCAGTAGTAGACTATTCTCTCGAGTTCCGTACACTAGCTGCTAGCAGTGGCTGGAATGAGGCCGCTCTGTTAGTAATGTTTAGACGGTTTAGACGGCTGAATCCAGATATTATAACGGAACTTGCGTGTAAAGATGACCTCTGGCCATCTGGTTGGATCATCTACTGCACCACCGCGGCAAGCCCAAGACCAAAAGAAGTGTCAGAAGACTACTTACAAAAGGGAAAGCCACACTAGAACAGTGGGAGACATCGGAACCCATGCAGTGTGGTTCTTCTCGTTTGTCACAAGAGGAGAGACTGCGTCGGATGAGGAACCATCTGTGTTTGTATTGTGATAATGTCGGACATCAGCTTCGTGAGTGCTCAGCCAGACCACAAACGCATAAGGTGCCAACGCCTGGACAGCATGTGGAGTATACTCCATGCGCTAATGTGGTGAGTGTGCCCACAAAGGGGTTGGTTTCAAAGTCCTTCATGTTACCCATGACTGTATACTGTCACCCCCAATTTGTTGTTT